ATTCTGATCAAATGTTCTGGTCCAAGACCATGAATACTCATTATACCAAAAACAGATATTGATTTACGACCAGATCTATTTGTGAAACCAATATAAGCTTCATCAAATCACGTACCAAAAGGGCATCTTACCAATATAACACTTCTGTTATCAGATGAAAATGTTGCCTTGTCCACGAAAAAAGTTCTGTCCCAATTTTGCCAATTCAAATAACGTTCAGCATAATTCACTCTTTGAAGCTTATGATTAATTGTTTGTTAATTAATCTGTTAATCTGTTAGTCTGTTAATTGTTAATTGTAACAAATTTTACGAGCAGCAAATCCATTTTCATTTAATCTACGATTTACTGAGTCATATGAAATGTCTTCATCGATTGCACGTTCATCGTTCAAACCAACGGTAAACAGTCGTTACAGAAATATTGAGTTTGTCAGAAGTTAAGTTTACTGGTATACCGATAGTGATGAGGACAATAATTTCAAGTCTAGTTTTACTTTCGATTGCTCGAGGCATAATTAGATCACAAATCAACAAATAAACAGACAAACTAAATGACCAATTATCTTTGCTACAAAAGTATGTGAAAAATTACGTGTGTTTACAAGTAACGAACTTAATGCAAACGAGTGTATTTAACATGATTAGCCTTGAAAATTTGATTCACATAAGGTTGAGTAAGGCTGAATATATTGACCAATTTTCGTTGACTCATTCGTTTTCCGTGAGCTGAGTTGATAAATTTTCTCACGTTTTTTTTGTCCATTTTTACGGCCGGTCGACCTGAACCTGGTTTTATAAGAACCGTAGATTCATTTTCACAAGATTTGAAAATACGGTAAACAGTTGATTTGGAAAAATTCATTGATTTGAAGTAATTCTACACTTGGGAAGAGGTCAAGTCACGGTTTTCTAAGATGAAATTTACTATTAATTTTCGACGTTCACTTGCTGTTAAAGCCATTGTGACAAAATTAAAAATGCAATCTTCTTAAAAATTAAGTCAAAAGTAGACAAATATTTGACGGTTAGTTTGAGCCACTATGTCTAGTCTGACTGGCGCTATTAAATTTACAAAACCGTCTCATTTTTTATTTATCACCTCTTATTGTAACCCAATCCCAGGGTCTGGCAATATTCTTAATTTGAAGTATTGTAATAACTCTTTAATTTAAAAATAGAAAAAATCTGATAGCATTTCCAGTAAAAAAATTTGATAAGCATCAATGAATTTATGTATTTATTTAGAATGATAATTGAACAATTTTTTAAGAGTATAATTAAATTGTCATTATAAGATAAGCATTTTTAAGATCAAAAATCATTCGGCTGTGTTTGATTACTTTGATCGAATTTTTTCATAGTTTTGAGCACTCGTTTATAAAGTAAATGATATACATCCTTTGCCCAAATGAAGTCCATATGGTTAAATGAAGGATCAGATACACTGTACTCGACCACTTTCACTACATTTAAATGGAATACGGTTTTATTATTTTTGTGATTAAATTGGCATAAAGTCTGTTTCTTACCTTCCATAGATTTTCTCAAAGTTTGAACGTCTTGCGGACTTGCTAATAAATCATTGAGAGAAGTAAAAAGGAAAATTGATTTCGACTTTATAGCACCTAAATCATAAGCTGGAGGTTTAAGAGAGTAGTGATAATATAAATTATGTGCCTTTCCATGGTCAAATTTGTAAAAACCTTTGTTGACAATATTTTGCGCAAAATGAAGTAAATCCCAGTTGGAAGTTTCAGCAAAGCCTTGAGTAATGTAAACAGGTAAACGAGTATAGTTCAGTTGACTTGGATTATAACCGCAAGCTAAGAATAAAGGAATTGAACAAGCATCACGGAGTTTAGATCTATCACATTTTTCAGCCATTTCATTTTGTAGTTCCTGTGGAATTGTTAATCTGTTTGGAAAAAGATAGAACATGTCTTTTAAACCTCGTAAGCTAGCTAAGGCTCGAAGAGGTGATTCTATATGAGTGACGTGTGCCACTGGTGCTAATGCAATGAATGGCTCTACTTTAGCTGCATATTCAGGCTTTTCTGACAATAAACCGAACATGATAGTTGTACCTTGAGAGTGACCAATCCAACCGAGAGATGCTGAGACATGGAAAAGATCAAATAAAAAATGATTAGTTAGAGATACTATAAAACTAATAATGAAGACTCACTTGAGTTGGTTTTATACAAGATATAATTTATAACTGCTGGTGCATCATAAGCAATCATCTGGTCAAAAGAAAATTGCCAAAATTTATCAGCGACTATAAAAATTAAAAAGAGATAATTGATTTACTCAATTTGAGGATTATCCGTTTGTAGAGCGTGAGAAAGCATCAATTCCTTACATTTATTTGGATTGAGGGTTGTGTGGTTTGTTGAGTATTTATTTCCTCTTGAGTTTGGTAACCAAACGTCGTAGTTAAAGTTAGCTAATAGATAAGCCAAATTTCGACCTTCATCTTGCAAAGATTTGGTATCTAAAGATTTAGCAGTCCAATCATCAGCAAAGCCTCCTGGAGCATTAGTAAGGAAATGAGCTGCAGATCCAAATAGACCATGTTGGAGCACGTAAGGCTTGATTGGGGTTTTTCCTCTTTGCCTGAGAACAGGATTAATTATTCTTTGAACTGAAAGTATATAATCATCATCTGTTCTAATCCAATGATTTTCGCAAATAAAACCTCGAGACTGGATCAATTCACATGGAGTTCCTCTTTCATCTGGATCTTTACCATAATTAGAGCGCAAAAAATCGTAGGGACTACACAAGACTGAACACCAACTGATTGAAATTAATAGAATAAAACTGCTTAATGATGAATGCAACATCTTGAACGAAGTTGTGTTTCTCAAAACTAGCCTCTGTATTCATCCTAGTCTTTTTATACGAAATGAGAGATAATTATTTGAATACGATAACCTAACAGAATTAGATTGAAATGATAAATTGTGATTTGTTGAATAATTAATGGTAACGTAAACAGTTTCTCAACGACTAAACACTCAGATTGTTCAAGATTGACTAGTGCCTTGTATGCTGTTTGCAATCGATATGGTTCTAACTCAATCTATTGAAATACTCTATTAATGCATAAATAAGCTTTTAATGGTGCTTGTTACGAGAATCTAGTCAATAGCAAGATATAGTACTTGAAAATAATCAGAGGTTTAGTCTTCCTTACGTTAAAATTTACTTGCGTTCAATTTATTTGTTGTAAAGGTAAAATATAATAGTAAAATGTGAAATGTAAAACTCTCTTCAATCCATTTTATGTACTGAAACATAATTACAGAAATTACAGTTTGGAGTTGAGTGCTGAAAAAATCCAACAGGTTTCGCCACTCGCTGTAATTTCTGATTCAAATTGTTTGTATCTTAAAAGTAGCTTATTCACACGGCAATGCTATTCATTGGGCAAAAATGTAAAAAATCACAAATCTTAATGACAAAATCTAGATTTATTGTTGGAAACACCTTAAAAATTAATATTATCACCTACAATATTGCTAAGAAAGTTAACCTTTCGCAAATAGGCTATTTTCTTGTTAATATCTTTATAACAATTAAAACTTTAATCATAAGACCTAAGGGTTTGAGGGGCTATTCAATAATTTACTGTGTATCTGTTTGGATTTGCTATCATATCGAGTAGTTTACGATATCGATATCTTTCGTAATAGGATGAAAAAATAATAGTGATTGAGGTTAAACCTTTACTAAAATACTAAAATGATATAATTATATGCAAATGTTTTAAATTATCGTAAATATCACCATCATTTAATGGTTTCAATTAGCTCTTCATTGGTTCAAATACATCGAGTATAATTTACTTAAATTATTATATATTTATTATAATTAATATCCATCAGGTTTGTCCAATAATTTTATACTTACATTTATAAGCACGATAACCCTTTCAATGCTTGTCTGATTAGTGTTTTCTATGTACTAAATGTTTACTCAATCAGCTTATCCAAAAAACAAACCTTTAATCACAGTGTTAAATAGATTTTACTTGAATGTATACTAAACTAGTTGACTTGAACAAATAAATATGTTATTATGATGTCAGGCAGCAGCTTATTTCGTATCTTATACCAATTGATTTGTTTTATTTTGCAATGAAATCCAATCTCAGTCAACGAAAACATGCAAAACATTATTCATTCGCAAAACATTTCATAGCACAATGTACAAAGAAATGAAAAAGCGATTCTTTCTTATCAATAACAGATCATTCAAACGCACATGATATACATCAATAATAATAATTTTGCAACCCTCTCAAGTTTCAATCTTAACAGTCTTAAAGTGTGGTGGAAAACAACTCGAACGCAATTTGCTATGGAAAAAGGATACAGTTTATGCAAACCGTTCAACATTAGATCGCACTGGCATCAATGAGTGACAGAAAGGTTGAATGACAACATACTGAGATTGTTCAAGGTTTAATCATCCAGATTAAGTTTCATATTCAAGGTTGTAGTTTGATATTCATAATTATCAGCCATCTTCAGTTATTAAAAGTTTCAAGTGTGAATTAATCTTACCTTAGCTTTTCTCTTTTCCCTCTAGAGAAGAAAATTTGATTCCTGTTTTGGTGTAAGTTTAATAATTGATTTAATCATCTTCCTCATCGTTAGAGCTTGAATTCCAGTATATTTCATTGACTCTCATCTCTTATATCCACATCAACATCAACATTATTTTTGGTCTTCTCATCTCTTTATGGTTTACTCTTCCATAGGTTTATCTTGTCAAGTTATCGGAGTCAAGATGCATTTTTATCTGAAAATGACAAAGTAATGAAGACATAATTGAATACATGCACAAGATTCAAGAAACAGTTATCATGAGGAGATATATCAAAGATTTTTGTATTGAAACAAAGAAAGAAGAAGAAAACATTCGGCTCAACAAGATAAAATGATATTTCACAAGAGCAGATCAAACGTGACTCCAAAGGTATACAATAACTGTTTATATCGATGCTAATCACCCAGTAAAGATGGAAATCAAAGGGTGAAGATGATAAACGAAATTTCTTGATACATTGGTATTAATGGGTCGACAATCACAGTTGAATAAACATCAGGAAAGAGAAGAGCCTTACTTGCATGATTACTGATTTATCAGAAAAAGGCATTTGAACTGCTTAAGATTACTTTTTGTGATTTTGATACAAGTGTTGGATTCATCTAATTTAGTCGCTTTGAATGTAAAGTTACTTCAGACTTTTGTTAGACCTGTTTGTTTTCATCAACATCATCGCCATCGTTATCATCATTGTTTTCGTTATTATGCAATCAATCGAAGGTGAAAGTGAAGAACAAAATATCAGGAGATTCCAGGGTTTGCGTCATGATAAGTTATATTGTGTTATGCATAGGTATGACTAGGCAATTAACAGTCAAGGTGAGCTCAATGGAAAATTCATTAGAAGGAGATCCACTTTTCTTTGACTCTTCATTCATGTTGCTTGGTTGAAAGACTTTCCCAGTCATCAGCATAATCACATGTAATAATGTAATACTGCAACATTTACTAAACTGGATACAAATTGAATCTACTTGAAAACATGTTTTGCCTTGAGGAAAGCCTAAAGACTGCATGGAAAGCAATCAACAAACGTTCAACAATGCTTCTAAAGTTGCATTTTGTTTACTAGCTTGAGGTTAAATACGTCTAGCTATGGCCAATTATTGAGCAATTAATGACCCTGTTCAAGATTTTTGTTTACCTATTCACAAGGACGAGAAGCAACAAGTATGATACATGAGATGAGAAGCCACGTGAAAATGACATCGTCATATGCAAAACAATATCAGCTGAGTGAGAGAGAAACTAATAATCTCAAAATAATTATCAATTATTCTCGTCTAATTGTTATCATGTAATATCATCTTCATATTTATTATCTTGATTGATCGACTATCTGTGATAAGGGGGTTTGACTTTAAACATGAGCTTTTTAATTCAACAATTCAACCTCCTTCATCACATTGATAAATTGATGATGAGAGTGGATGATAAGTTGAGAGAGAAAGAAGGTGATAGTGAGACTTGCTGTGAGAAGCATAAATACATTTAAATAGAGTGAAAGTGAAAATATATCAACAAGATTGAAAGAAGCAAAAGGTTTTAGTTCGTGTTTCCAACTGAATATCAGTTACTGCTTTCTTTCCATAGACTATTTTACTTTCGTGTTTAACGTTTTTTCACTGATTTCTGTCAGAACTACATCAATTGCTATAAAGTGCATCACTCTTGATAATTAACATTAAGAGGTGATTGATTCAAAAACTATCGTATAGTTTAAGTAAGTGGAGGTCTTCCCCTCAATTAGATTGCATGATGCGATTATTTTGGAGCAAAAGTTAAAAGTCGAAACGCAATTCAATCAACGCTACAGTTTTTTTCTCCTCATCATTACACCTTCAAAATATTTCCACTTGGTAAATTCACTCAGTTTCATCACCAAATTCATTTTTATATTGTAATTAGCACAGGCACATTTGTTGAATCAAAAATTTTTAGTTTATTAAATTTTGTTTGTTAACAGCTTATTTATTGTTTTTGGTGTCAACTTACATTCGTTGATAGATATGCCGTTCAACATGTTTACCACTTTGGTATTGCTGACTGGTTTGTTAATCAGTGCTGTTCGATTAGAAGATTGTTTCCAACAACATTTCCCGGATAATGGAATCGTTTGTGTCTGTAATGTGACTCATTGCGATGCCCTTGCTATTGACAAGATTGCCAATCCGGGTACAGTTGTTTCATTCGAGTCCGATATAACTGGTAAACGAATGCGTAAAACAATCTCATCGCTGGAAACTTTAACCATTAATATTAATCACTCATCCACATTCATAATGCATATTGATAAAGCTGATCGTCGCCAGAAAATCAATGGGTTTGGAGGATCATTCACTGATGCAGCAGGTTTCAACATATTTTCCCTGCCTGAAAACATGTCTCGTCGATTGTTGCAAGATTATTATGGATCCGATGGTATTGAATACTCTATTGGACGGGTACCAATTGGCTGTACAGATTTTTCACGTAAAAATTATTCTTACGATGAAGTTGATGGAGATTTTGATTTGAAACATTTCGCTCTTGCGCCAGAGGATCACTTATATAAGGTACAAATAAAAACTATTTTCATTGCAAATGTTTAGTTCCTTAAGCAACTTTTGTTTTCAGCAATCAAGTCAGAATCTCTAATCTTTTCTTTTGCTAACCTAAAAATTAGATTCCCATGATTAGGATGGCAACAAATTTCACCAATCGTCAATTGAAATTATTGGCTTCACTCTGGGCTCCGCCAATTTGGTTGAAAACCAACAACAGACATAATGGAATGGGAATCATTAGAGGCGATCCCGGTGGACCATATTATCGTACTCTTGCTAAATATCACATAAAGTAAGTCGATGAAATTTTTTAATGGCACTTGGTATTCTTTAATGAGTTGAAGATAATAACCCATTATACTGCTTGTTGCGACTTTGAAGTTCTTTATTTAGAATATGAATAACACTTGTAAATATAATTTGTATTGAAATTATCTGTTGAGTAGTATTTATTTTCATTTTACACTTGACAACTAATTAACTATTGTGTAATATAGCTACAGTTTTCATCTTCAATGTAAATTGAGGTCATTGATTGACAAGATTCAATTGAGATTTTAATCAGTTTGTGTTGAAATTGTAAGAGTTGGCTTGATTAATTGACTTGATAGAAAAGATATTATATTAATATTATAATCATCATACTGATCAAGTATTTGAATCTGTTGGATGTTTGCAAAATACCTAGATTTTAATCGTTATTCTCATAATGTCAATATAGCAAAATTTCTCCCTGTCATAACCAAGTAATACATTTCCACGAAATTCAATCTAATTATAATGTTTATCGATGTTGATGAGTTAACATTAATTATCGAAATTTGATTAATTTTAATGTTAATTAACAAATGATAAAACCAACATATAACTGGCATATCGACAAAACTTTGATTAAAAACTATAATGAGGCTGTTTTTCGGGTAAATAACAATAAAATAAATCTCAAGAATTGACAGCATCTGCGAAAAACGATTTAGATAGCAAAACATGAATTAATGAAACTTAAAAAAAGCAGAAAATAATTAATCAGTCAAACTAGTATGAATTTATCACATTTCCCTTTTTATTGGTCAAATGTCCTTATTATATTGAATACTAAAACAGATAAAAGGATTTTACAATAAATAAGAATCTCTTTATCTGTAATCATGAAATAAGATTTCATGAACGTAAGTACAAGATCTGTTTCCGCTGAAAATTTACGATTCACGCTTATTGTTCAATTTTCACATTGATAACTTGAATTTTTAATATCATCTAAAATAGATTTCTCGATGAATATAAGAAACTTGGAATTCCGTTCTGGGCTATAACATCAATTAATGAGCCTGCTGGCGGGCTGAAGCCTCACTGGCATAATCCATCAGTTGGAGCGTCTCCTGAAATGATTCGTGATTGGATTAAACACGATTTAGGACCTTTACTGGAATCATCAGGTTATGGCAAGGATAAATTACATTTGATTATTCACGATGAAATAATGAGCTTGTTGATACATTACGCTAAAAATATCTTGAAAGATCCAGAAGCAAATAAGTTTGTCTCTGGAGTTGGTATCCATTGGTATGAATATGGATTTGAACCTTACACTCCTATGAATTTGGTACATGAAAGTTATCCAGATAAATTTTTAATTTCGACCGAAGCTTGTGAAGGTTGGGGAGGCAATTTCCAAGGAGGTAAATATTTTTCTCATTATCTTGGTGATTATGAAGAGCAGCGTAAACAAGTATGTGCTAATTTGACTTTTCTCTTCTTATTCATTCCATAGTTCGTATTGGCAACTGGACCAGAGCTGAAACATATGCTTGGGACATCATTAATAACCTTAATCACTGGGGAACTGGTTGGATTGATTGGAATCTTGCCCTCGACCCTCTAGGTGGACCTAATTATGTGCTCAACGTGGCTGATTCAGCTATATTGGTTGATGCCAAAAATAAAGTTTATTACAAACAACCAATGTTTTACGCTCTTGGACACTTTAGCAAGTTTTTGAGCCCAGGTTCAATAAGGTTAGGATTCAGTGACAATATTGACCATCCAATGATTAAAGTGACTGCCTTTTTGGATACAAATGGCCAAGTAATCGTCATTTTGTTGAATCGTAAAGAGGAAGCTATTGTTGCTTCAATCGCTGGTGTAACCAATGAACCATTCCAAGTTGCCCTGTCTCCCAGGTCTATCAAAACACTAATTGTTCCGTCATCATCTCTTTCTTCATCAACTCCTAAACCTTAGGACCAAAAAGAAAGGTTATATTCATCAACTAGCATAATTTAAATTTACTTACTAAGTTCATTGTTCATATGTCATCAAAAATTTCTTTTCTCTATTGACTATTCCCTAGTCATATTGCAATTGTATAACTTTAAAAATTCTCAATAGATTAATAACATTATATTTTTAATTTTATCAACCTTGTCACGCGTTACTTTTATTTAGTATCTCCTAAATCAATCCAGTGCAAAAGGAAGAGTCCAGATTTGGTGCAAATCGTATTTTGCATCTTGCAAGTTTTGTACTCGTATTTGTATACAAACCTTCTTTATCTAAAAATGCTGTTTTTCAAAAACAAAATCTTTTTTAGATTGACCATTAAAGGTCATCAATCTTCTAATCATCCAGCGATAAAATGAACGCTGTAAGAATGACAGTTCATTACTCAATGCAGATGTTTTGAGCACCTTTTCAACTGAACTTTGGTTAAGCAAAGATTGAAATGAGTGGTTAACATTTCACAGCAAGCAGGAAAACGAATTTGTTATTGTTATTAATATTTTGTGCAAGTTTCATTTCAAATTGTATTTTATTCTTATAAATATGCTTCTAACAATTAATTCAATTGTACAGCATATCATCAGAGTTTTGATGCAAATATTATTTGCATGACGGCGAAGAAACTGTTTGGTTGCTAAATTTAATCGAATTTTTTCATGACTTCTAGCACTCGTTTATAAAGTAATTCATAAACATCCTTTGCCCAAATGAAGTCCATGTGGTTGAACGAAGCTTCAGGTACACTGTACTCGAATGTATTCACTGAAATTAAAATAGAATATGATTTCATTATTTTATCATTGAATGGTTATATTAATATATTCATGTTTCTCACCTTTCATAGCCTTTCTAAGTGTTTTAACATCTTCTGGACTTGCCAGTGCATCATTGAGAGAAGTAAAAAGATGAATTGATTTTGATTTGATTGCACTCAAATCATACTTTGGAGGATATACAGAATAGTATCGCCATAGATTACCGACAGTTCCATGATCAAATTTGTAAAAACCTCTGTTGACAATATTTTGTGCAAAGTGAAGTAAATCCCAGTTGGAAGTTTCAGCAAAGCCTTGAGTATAATAAACAGGTAGTCGAGTTGAGTTCAATTGACTTGGATTGTAACCACAAGCTAAAAATATTGGCATTGAGCAAATATCTTTGAGCATAGATTTATCACATTTTTCAGCCATTTTATCTAAAAGTTCTTGTGGTATTGTTAATTTGTTTGGGAAATCGTAGAAGAATTTTTTGATACCATGAAGGTGAGCCAAGACTCGAAGTGGCGATTTTATATGAGTGACGTGTGCCACTGGCGCTAATGCAATGAATGGCTCTACTTTAGCTGCATATTCAGGCTTTTCTGACAATAAACCGAACATGATAGTTGTACCTTGAGAGTGACCAATCCAACCAAGAGATGCTGATACATAAAAATGATGAGTCGATTAAATAGTGATACAATATAACCAATAACTAAAACTTACCTGAGTTGGTTACATTCAAGATGTAATCTATAACTGCTGGTGCATCATATGCAATCATCTGATCGAAAGAAAACTTCCAAAAATCGCCCATTACTATGCAAGTCAAAAGAAGATCATTTAGTTCGAGAATTGTCGATTTATATAAAAAGTCGAAATAGTTAATTCCTCACATTTATTTGGATTGAGGGTTGTGTGGTTTGTTGAGTATTTATTTCCTCTTGAGTTTGGTAACCAAACGTCGTAGTTAAAGTTAGCTAACAAGTAAGCTAAATTTCGACCTTTTTGGCTGAGCTTTGATGAATCTAATGATCTAGCAGTCCAATCAGCAGCAAAGCCTCCTGGAGCATTAGTAAGGAAATGAGCTGCAGACCCAAACAGACCATGTTGGAGCACGTAAGGCTTGATTGGGGTCTTTCCTCTTTGCCTGAGAACTGGGTTGATTATTCTTTGAACTGAAAGTATGTAACCATCATCTGTTTTGATTGAATGATTTTCGCAAATGAAATTTCGAGACTTGATCAATTCACATGGAGTTTTTCCTGCATCTGGATCAGCATTGTAATGGGAGTACAATGATGGTAAGTCTAAAAGCTCGGATGGGTTACACAAGACTGAACACCAACTGATTGAAATTAATAGAATAAAACTGCTTAATGATGAACGCAACATCTTGAACGAAGTTGTGTTTCTCAAAACTAGCCTCTGTATTCATCCTAGTCTTTTTATACGAAATGAGAGATAATTATTTGAATACGATAACCTAACAGAATTAGATTGAAATGATAAATTGTGATTTGTTGAATAATTAATGGTAACGTAAACAGTTTCTCAACGACTAAACACTCAGATTGTTCAAGATTGACTAGTGCCTTGTATGCTGTTTGCAATCGATATGGTTCTAACTCAATCTATTGAAATACTCTATTAATGCATAAATAAGCTTTTAATGGTGCTTGTTACGAGAATTTAGTCAATAATAACAAGGAGAAAACAAAAAAAAATACTTGAAAATAAGCAAAGTTTTGATTTTTCATACGTTACAATTTACTAACGATATGCTTAAATGTAAAATAGCGACTGATAATGTAATTAAAGCTAAGAGCTAGAAGAAAGTTTGATTAATGAGTGGTGAATTGGTAAATCATCAACATTGTGTTCAATAAGTGGTTTATAAATCTTAATTTTTTATAGCTATGGTTTTTTACAGACATCGAGCTTTGTAAACGATTAATATCTTGAAGCTCAAAAATAGCATCGAAAAGTTGTTATAAAGTAATTGAAGAATGGCACTGGTAATAAGATTAATACTAAATGGTTCATCACAATGGACTATAAACAGAAGAGAAACCAGGTGGGTCAGTTTTAAATAAATGTTTGGAAAGCTTTGGAAACATAGCCATAAATTTGAACCTCGAACCCATATCATCAAGAATCATTTTAGCTCCAGAGATTAAATCTTTTTTCTGCTCAGCATTAGCTGCTTGAAGAAGCATTGCTAGTCGGACAGCTATTCCTAAATTTTTGAGAAATGTCTGTTGATCGATTGGCCCATAGGTAAGCGATTTATCACCAACATGCCTTTTAAGATAACCAAAATCAACATCAGCTGTTAAATCAGCTGAGCCTGGTTCTTTGAGAGGATCCCATTGACTGTGATTACGAAATGCTCTGAAAGTATCTCTTGATTTTTTCTCTTTATCATCATAACCATAATCACAGATCAGGAAACAACCATCATTCCTATTCAATCTTTCAGCAATTTTTTCCACAGTTAATGCTGCCTCAGGACAAATCTCTAGATGGTCCAAACTCAAGTCATGGTCGTGAGTAATGAGAAGTTTACTGGCTGGAGTAGGATGTCTTGATATAATATAACGAAGCTCTTCATTGGCATCAATATCGACAAGAATTTCTCTCCATTCACCAGATTCATTTTTCTTTAAAGAGATACGATGAGGAAAAAATTTAGATTAATTGATCATTGAAATTTATGGAGATATTAATATAAATGCAAAGCTTACCTGAAATTTATGAATAGGTAAAGCATCTAGAAATTCGTGAGCAATGTACACAGTGAAACCTGGCACTTCAGGCACTTGATCTAATGATCGATACCATGTAATTGGTAAACCCAATTTGGTTAAAGAATCATGTCTGGTAAAATCATCTTTGCCGAGAACAGAAACATTACCACATAATTTTTGTTCTTGTAATTGGACCAGGTAAGGTGAAATTTCAACCAAATGAAGTGAGGCTTGATCTCTTGTATGACTGAATTTATTTAAAACACGTGAAATGTCAGAGACTAAGGTTCCTCGTCCAGGTCCAAGTTCAACAATACGCAAAGGTCGACTGCTATTGAACCTCTGCCATTCATTGACAGCCCAAACTGCAATAAGCTGTGAAAAAATAACCAATTGTGAGTAGAAGTATCAACTGAAATGTTTAAATACAACAACAATAAATGCGAAAACAAACCTCTCCAAATATTTGGGATATTTCTGGGGATGTTGTGAAATGTCCTGAACGACCGAAAACATCTTGCTTCATATAAAATCCCTGAAAACAAAGAATATCATTATAGACGCAACTTTAATGTTTCTCGGGCAAAATATTGTAAATTATATTATTGATACTTACATTAGATGGGGCTGTCAAAACTAATTTCATGTAGTCCATGGAAGAAGTCATTCGTGTTCAGATATGCTCAAGTTCATGCGCTCTCAAAATTTGATCCAACAACATATTTGGATGATAAGTGAGAATGAAGGAGTGAATTTCAAGTTCAAAGAGTGATGAAAAAATATCGAGCAAAAATTATTAACAATACTTTTGGCGTTGATAGATGCAGTGTGAATTTTATGTTCATTGAACTAATTACAGCTTGTTTTAGACTTTCATCCACGCTCACATTATCCATTACTTGAAATGTTATCAAAGTATTTAAATCAAACTATTTTTTTTGTTGTGTTAACTTTTTCAATGGAAATTAGTTGTGACTTACTCATTAGACCAATTAGACATGTTAAAAAACAAGGTGAGTTTGAGCAACTATTGAATAAAGTAACCATTAATTTAATAACTGTGATAATTTTTGAATCAGCCTCAGAAGCACTTGACTCGGTTTACCAAGACGATCTTTGTCCACGAAGCCGAGAGGAAGCAGTTGCTCGTGGTCGAAGTTGTTTGAAGAAGTGTGTTTCAGATGCTGATTGTATAAGCTCTCGAAAGCGCTGTCTTTGTGATGGACTTTGTGGTTGGAGTTGTGTTCGTCCTGGTAAGTTCAATTCCTGTCTTGTTATAAACTATGTAAAGTTGAAAAACTTTTGATTATTGAGTTGAATTACGAATCACACAAAATGAGATGAAATGACTTGTGAAACTAGCAAAAAATTGTTAATGTTTGTTACTTATTATTGAATTGAATATTACTTTAATAATTAGATCTTTCTTTTAACAATTTCAAAATGTATTTTCGAGTTTGATTACTTGGTATAACTTTGTATTGAAGAGTCGAATGGCGTCGAAATAAACTTTATTTTGTTTTGTTTAAATAGACCTTAACTGTGATGAAATGACAACCGTTAAGAATGGAGAGTTCAAAGTATCTGGGAATCACTTCGGAGCTCGTGTTTCATATACATGTTTAGATGGCTTCTACATGTCAGGTCCAAGAGAGCGAGTTTGTCAAGGTGACGGATCATGGAGTGATCAACCGCCAGTTTGTCGCAAAGAAGGTAAGTTTGTAGATTCACTGTCTATTGAATATTGCTATAAGTTTATCATGAATACAATATGCAACAAAGAATAAATGACCTGAGATCCAACCTTAGACTAGACTTCATCAGCATGTTGGCATGATAAGTGTGATAAAAGAAGGAATAATTGAAACATTAGATTGCTTCTGTTTGTATTTGCTATGCTTTTCGCCTTTGCTATTACTAACAACATCGGTAATGCTGTATTAGACTCATTTATTTTCAATTGATCATCAAGCATCGACCTGTAATGTGATTATTGTTTTACCGTAAACTCGACCCTTTTATATCATAGCAATGTGCCGATCACCACTGGCTGTCCCTCACGCTCGTCATAACGCCCCTTTAGATCAAACCGAATTCCCTATAGATGATATGGTCCAATATTCGTGTTTCCCTGGCTATGAATCGAAAGGTTTTGCCAAAGCTAAATGTCTTTTTTACAATGGGACTGCACAATGGTTTGGACCTGATCTTAAATGCATACGTAAGTATATTATCTTCATATCATATTTAATTGCATAGGCGATTGCAACAGTTCCAGAATTTCAACGACTATATTTTCGATAGTAATATTCACATCAATAGGCATGAACATCAGCATCATACATCACCAATATTGTTGAGCGTGAACAACTGAACTGTAAATAACTGATTTATTTATTCAAAGATTGCACTCATATCGAAGCAGTCCGTTTGAACTGATTGTTATTGTTTTTGTTGTAACAATTTCAAGCTGTATAATCCAAGTGTTTGAATGTTTAAATGCATTCACATTCATTTACTTTGAAAGGACAAAATGACTTTGAGCCTTTTTAACTCGTAAAGAGTCCCTTTGTTTCAAAACTTTAATTATTTTGGCAAAACGCAACTCGAATGAAAAGAAAGCGAAATCATTGACAGGAATTATATACGAAACGGAAATTGAGGGCATTTATTATTTTTGATGTTCCTTCATCATGTTCACGATATCATGTATATATAGAAGTATAAGAATTTGAGAAAAGCAGGATAAAGAAAAAAAATGATTCCTTTATTTCCGTCTGACAAAAGATTTTTCGAGTTTCCATTGTTGTAAGATTTTTTCACCTTATTCCTCTGAGCATCTTCAACTTTTCAGCATTAATGTAATGAAAGAAAATCTGATTTTGATAAATGTAATAAAAAATGTGAAAAGAAGAAGAAGAAGAGGAAAAGAATAGAAGACAAAACGACTGAGAATGATAACAATAGAAGATGATATTGGTCAGATGGAATATTTGACAGAAAAAAAGTCATTCTTCTCACCTTTATTGTGAGCAAATTATAATAACAATGATAATAGAGAAAAGTGTTTTTATATTACATAATTAATGTTTGTATTGTTAATTGATTAGCCAAAAGCTGTGGTAATCCTGGCGATATTGAGAATGGACAAAGAGAGGGAAACATTAATTCGTTTACCAGTAAGGTTACCTATTCTTGTAATGAAGGTTATCTCATTAAGGGTCGACCTAATCGTTATTGTCAGTCTAATGGTCAATGGAGTGGAGTTTTGCCCACTTGTATACGTAAGTGACCAACTGTTATAAATTAAATTGATGATTGATGATTGATGATTGATGATGCCACTTACTGATCATGAATGGTCAACATTAGCAAATTTAATTATTATATTATTGACTTTTATTCTTGCCTCAATAATATCATGATATACTTTGTTTATTATCGCTCCTTTCGTTATTCAAGTTATTTCCGGTTTCATGACTTTTATTATTTGCTTTCTCCATATTAATATTTGCATCTTCAACCAAAATTATTATATTAATGTCATTATTGATTTATGTTATTATGTCAATGCTTGGTTTCATATTAAAATGTTCAAGATAAATATTATTAATAATAAATCTCAAACTATTCTTCTTCACCCTTTCGTTCTTTATTGTTTTCATGTTTGCACATTCGTAATCATTAATATTAAAATATTGATTTACAGCAACATCAGCAAACACAATCAACTTTTTCATTCTCTTTTCTTCTTCCCTCATTAATTTGCTTTTAAAATCATCATCAAAACATTCAAGCTGTTCGATGTGATAAACCTGTTGATCCTGAAAACGGTAAAGCACTTTATTCATCAACAAACTATAAATCTGTGGTTAAATATGAATGTCGATTTGGTTATTCGTTGGTTGGTTCGACTTCTCGAACCTGTGGTCCTGATAAACAATGGGAAGGTGAAACACCCAAATGTGTTGAGATTGACTGTGTTTTACCTCTTTACTTGGCCAATGGTTACATTGAAGGTCGACGGACAAGTGTCGGTTCAGTCATTTGGTTCAAATGTTATGATGAAATGGTTTTCATGGGTCCATCAGCCTCAGCCACTTGCCTTGAAAACGGAACTTGGTCTCACCCTTTACCCGATTGTTTATCTCCTTGTATTGTTCCTGACATTATAAATGGTCGGATAAACAATGTTGCTCCAGGGTCTAGAGTGGCTCATGGGACAGCAATCAATGCAACTTGCAAACCTCAATATGAATTATCGTCCAGTTCATCACCATTCCTGTGCAACAATGATACATGGACTCACATACCCAAGTGTATTCCAGGTAATTATATCATTAATAGTTCTTATCCTGACATTAAAAAGTAATTTTCATTTGCCTTTTTAAACAACTCGATACTTTATCATTGTGTAAATGTTTGTCTAACGATTTCAATTGCTCAACTGGTTGATAATATACATCATGGTTGAAAGGAGAAATAAAAGAAGAGCATAATAAATGAAAAGGAAAAAGGAATAAAATGATATTTTCTTTGCCATGAAAAGGCAATTATGAAACAATCATGAACAACTCTCTATGAATAAGTTGAATTTCTTTCTATTTCTCTTTATTCTTTGTCCTTTTATCATGAGGAAGAAGATGACAAAAAATGTTACATAAATTCAATTAAGATTGTGCACATTGATGCAGGTCTTGAGGCTAATCAAGAAGAAGATGACGATAATGGTGATAATATTGAAGGAAAATGCTGATCCATATGAAATTTATCTGCATAATAATTCATTGCAACAAATTCTGAGCTTGACTTTAATTTATTTCTTTCTTTTCTCGTTCATTTCATTGTTGGCAAACTAAATATTAATAATTTCATCTTCACTTCAACTGTATTCAAACTTGAAGAAGAAAAATTTTCCAAATTGATTTTTACTGTTTCAAATGAAGGAATGTAAATGCAAATGTATGAACCATTTGATGAAAGTCCCTTAATCAGTGTAGCTCTTTCAAATTAAAATTATTGATTCAATTCATTTTACTCTTTTTTATTCCATTTGTTCATTCATCATTCAAAGTCAATCAGAAAATTTTAATGACTTTTAGCCAAATTAACGCTATAATTATGTTAATCTAGGAATAACTGCTACTTTAGTCAATCAAATCAGTTGAATTATTTCATTTCCCAGCTGAATAAAAAATCATTGGACCGAATAAACAAAAGCAAGCATTCTGGCCATCTTGTTGAACATGTGAAAATAACATTATTAATTTTTGAATATCAAGTTTTTTTCATTTTCGGGTTCAATTATAATTGTATGAATCGAGTGAATCAACATTTTACTCTTCTTTTTTAATGAGAATCAATGATCACAAAATGAACTCTCGATAATCTTATCATGTTATTACTACATTTTGAAACAAAAAGAGTTGAATAAATGTTAGTTGAATGGTTAAATTGGTTTGACAATTGAAGATTATATTTATTATAATAACATGATAAGTCTGGAGTTGAAAGGAAATAGGAATCAAGGGAATTCAGTATTGCGATTATTGTTAGTCTGTCAAGCAACTCCAATTGTCCATTCAATTTAAACATTGACTCTGTTACCTTGTTAGTGTTAAAAGGTGATGAACAAGAAAAGTAATTTTCTTGATCAAAGTAAGTGTATAAAATGTTCTAATACTTGCGAGTCACATTCGTTGATTAAATTGTCACTGTTAGTCTCACATGGTAATGAATAAGAGTGAATAAATGACTCGAAAATTTTGATTATCTTTTAAGACTCTTCGACTATATCAAGGTGCATTAACTTTGTTTCAACTGAATTTAGAGTTTATTCAAGCGTGTTTTGTTTCAAGCAAAAGTTTACTTGTTAATTATTTCTAAATCCTTAATTTTTTCTTTTCCTGATTCCCATCAAACTATTTGCTCATAAAATTACATTAGTCCGGTGTATTATCTGATAATTAGTTTGTAACATAGTAAACTGTTCCCTGCTTCACTTGCCATTCCTGAGCAATAAACACTCACTGCTCAATTCACCATGATCAACATTTGAGATTCCATCCAGTTACAAATAACTTGGAAAAATTTACTCAAATTTACAACTAAATCTAATGCTAAAACAGCCTACTTGAAGGTGTTTAGAAATGTAATGAAAAATAAATCTTTACATTTTCTTTATATTCCTTTGAATATCCTTCAAACAATCAACTAATGGGGAACTGTTGAGATTGATTTGTCTCTTCCATTGTTGATTGACTATTTACTGATGAAAGATCATTTAATTCTGAATTCAAACCTGTTTATATTGAATATTTAATGGCAACAATGTTCAAACCTAGAAGCAGTTATTCTTGGTTTTTTTCATTTATTTTATCCCATACATTGAGTCTGGCTATTTGAATTGTTGTCTTATTTTATTGCAGCTCGATGCAAAAAGTTGCCTGAAAAACCCAAACACGGAATTGTGATAGCATCCAAGACTGACCATGGGTCCAGAGCACTTTATAAATGCTTGGATGGTTACAATTTAATAGGATCCAACACAACTCAATGTTATTATGGGAAATGGACTAAAGCTACTCCAGTGTGTAATGAAGGTAATTAAATGGAAAAATTAATCTAATTAATTGATAAACATCTAGAAGTAAGAAGAAAGACAATTTTAAAAGCAATTATCCATTGAGTACAATTAATTGTTTCACTGAATCTTAAATGATGCAGCCTTTTTTCCTCCTTTTTTTTCGTCCATTGTTTCTTCTTGATATCATTGAAAATAAAATGAACGTAAAACCAATTTGTTTAGTTTATTGTCCATTTCCTGGTTCCATTGAACATGGTCGAGTCCTTTTGGTAGGTCACATGGGAATGTATGATTATCGTCCTTACGTGCGCCGAGTCATTAACAATAAACAGATTATTTATGAGTGTTCAAAGGGATTCCTGGTCTCAGGTCCACCCGGTGCCACCTGTGTAGATGGTCATTGGTCACCCTCTGAATTGCCTAAATGCGTTAAAGGAACCTATCCTAGTATTCGTTGGGATAATCGACGAAAGAGATGGACAAATGGGAATTATGTCAATATTAACATTTAATTCAAATTAACTGAAAATCCTTTTGCAATCAGATTTAAAAGGTCAGTTTCAATTTAATCTTCTTTTGTCCATTTCATCATTCTTTCTCTCTTTCATTGTTTAATCGAGCGAATTAACTGAACAGATTAAACAAAAAAATGATTAATCGCAATGTCATCATCTATTTAAGTGGACAATCTTTCGTCATAAATGTAGGTCTTTTCATTTGCCTCCGATCAAGGCTACTGCATCAGTCATTCTGATAGTTAAAAGGCTGAGCTAAATCATGCAATCATTTGTTCAAACTTATTTATCGGTCTCAGAATCATCTTTCGATTAAGACCAAAATAAAGTCTGGATTCGTTGGGGTTGCCTTCAATAATGACACATTTAGTCTGTATATTTAGATGTTGATGAGAAGAAATGGATTTAATTAAGGAGGAAGAAGCTGCAGCAAGGTCTTTTGTTTATCAATATTTAAAGCTATCCAATTGACCTTATCTGAAATTACTGATCATTCTGTATTTCCTGTTTCCATATTAATTTCGATCAATCAGCTGACTGTAAATCAATTGAAAGTAAACCTTGGATGGACATTACTATTGTTCGTGTTGGTCAAGGAAACGAAACTTATCCTCACGGAACATTGATTCAAGTTTCATGCAGCAATGGCTATTCATTAAATATTGGTAAAAATCGAACTGCAAAGTGTCTTAAAGGTCATTGGAAACCTCGTTTACCTTCATGTTTATTATCACCTTGTTCCCTTCCCCATTTGGATAACGGACAATACTTTATAAATTCAAGTTCGTCTTTGCCTTCAGGTTCACGAATATCATCAAATGAAACAGTTTCTATTGCTTGTGATCCAGGTTATCAAATAGTTTCTTCATCATCATTATCGACTTCATACAACATTACATGTTCATCAGGTCACTGGTCTTTAGCAAACAGAGCTTGGCCTGAATGTGTTCCATCTTCATGTTCACTTCCTCAAATATTCAATGGTTACTATTTATCTGGTTATCGAGCAGGCCTGACCATCTCTCATGACTCATCTGTCGAGTATCAATGTCTATCTCCATATCATCGACTCAATGATGGACTGATCAAGTGTTTTAAAGGTTCTCTTAGTCCAGAAGTTCCACTTTGTGTTGATCATCCAATGACATCACCAACATCATTTATCAACGAAAAGAATGTTTTCCACAAAAATGAAAGTGAATCGAGTAAAAGAAATAAGAACGAAAACAGTGAAGAAGAAGAAGAGAAAATTGAATCAATTATCGAAGAAGATGCGAGAGAAGAAGCTTATCTGAATGGCTTGAATGAAGCTTTAGCTGCTTACAAATGGTGTCCACCTCCACTAAAGATTGACCAACAGCTAAAGTATCACCACGATCAACTGTTGACCACTTTAACATCAACATCAACAACAACAAGCACCACAACTACAACCATTGCACCCTCATTATCCTCATCATTACCTTTAATGAATGAACAGTTGAATAGCACTTGGTCTTTACCATTTAGTCCAGCTGAAAGTGCGACTGAATTCATGATTGGCAACATCTCAATGAATGAAACTAATGATAAAATAGTTTTGAGTGAATCTGATGTTTATAAAAGAGGCTATTTGCCTCCTGGTTCACAACTAGTCTACAAGTGTGTTCCTCTTGCCGGTCCTGGAGTCAATAGAATGCGCAATTTTCGTAAAACAACTTGGAAGATCATCTGTGACTCTTCTGGTTCTTGGTCAGCATCAGGAGTACCATGCGAAGAAGAGGAAGATGTTAATTTGGACTATTTAGCAAATAAAAGTTGTACCTTTGAATCTGGTATAACAATCGGTGAAAATGTATTGGCTTTCATTGAAGATTCTCAGACAGTCCACGATACTGATTATCCTCCAGGAACTACAATACATGTGCGGTGTGTTGATATCGGTAAATACAGTCTACATGGCAGTGCTCAACGAAAATGCGTTTATGGTGATTGGGATGGCATTAAGCCCACTTGTTATGGACTGTCTCAGCAACACGATTATGCATGTAAGTCCAAATTACAATAAAATTACAAACATTGAGTTTAATTGTTCGGGGTTTCGTTTAAATTTGCAGTAGAAAAGCCTCCGACTATATTGTTTCGGCATCTAGTTGGACCCATCGCTCAAAGCAATGACGGTAAACTAATTGTTTATCCTGGAACCATTTTGCACCTTGAATGTCTCTGGATACGCAAATTTGGTACTCCTACTTGGGAAGTTAATCATGCTCATCGAGCTTATCCTCAAGGCTGGACAACTGATCCTGCTCGTGATTCATCGCTTGAATATCGCCTGTCCATTTATCATGCCGATGAAACAGACTCAGGGGAATATACGTGCGTAACTCCAGTTAAACACCGACATTCTGTTAAGATTGAAGTAAAAGGTAAGTATTTAATTGGTTGATTATCTTGGAAATAAGTATTAATCCAATTCCCTATTCAGCAATTTACTGCCCAGAATTGAGTTTACCTGATGGAGTTCAAGTTAATAACAATGGATTCCGAATGAATACTAAAGTGACATTCAGCTGCATTCCAGGAATGGTCTTGCAAGGAAGTGATTCTACAACGTGTTTACCTTCTGGTCGCTGGTCGAATCCGGTACCTAAATGTTTATCACAATCATAATTATACTAATCGTTTCCGTCTCGAATCTCCTTCAATTTGGTGCTGAAAGTTGTACAAGTTGTATATTTATAATTTGCTAACACCTGCAATCAAATTATTAATAAAATTTGTTTATTCAAAATGAACTTGATATTTTTGTGATTATGGAATGTACCGAAAATTTAAAAACAATTCATGATTAGAAAGACCTTTGAAAAGAAGAAATCACTCAAAGTTTCGTATTGTTGATGAATTTTAAGATTGATTTATAACATTATCTCACAAGGAAAAGTGCATAAGGGTTATGGTTTGATTTAGCAAATTTTTTGATAAATTTACAGAAATTTTTTCAATCTCTTCGACCATGAAAATTGCCCCTGTGAAGCTGAAGATGACATTCATTGTGTGCTTTTTGCATTATGTCTTTGTTTAGCTCATTTTCAGTTCATTAAAACAGGTATTATTAGACTTATAATTTGGATAAAAGTTGAAACAGAAATTTGAAATTTCACCAGACGTACTTTTCCCCCTTTATCAAAGGATTTTCGCTAAATTTATCGAAGAATTTCCTAAATCGAACTGTAATACTTAGTTCTCTTGTCAGGACAGTTACAGTTGGCTGGAGAATAATTTGAGACAACTAGGTGAGTCAATCAACTAAATCAAATGTAGTAATTTAATTGATTAATTTTTTGGTTCTAACTTAAGGCGATTTTCACTGTCGCCATCTATTGAATTTAATTGTTTTTAAAGCTTTGAAGTTTGTTTAGCTAACAATACAGGAGCCACTAGATGGCGACTGAGAAAAAAATCTGACTCCACAATTGCAAAACTTCACAATAGGTGCCGCCTCAAAAGCTGCGACATTATCGACTGAACTGTAAAAAAAGTGATCGAAATTTTTTCAGAACATGAAAATTTAATCTCTTTTACAAAGCAACAAATGACAAAATATTTAGATAAAAACCCGATGCTGATTTATTCAGCTCTCCCAAGTTGTTTGTTGCAACAGATCTGATGCTATAGATGAAGAGTTGAAACTCATTTTCACAGATGAAATTGACTGAAAACACTGATGATCGGAGACTTCTTCGATTTATTAACATTCCCTCGAATATCCTTAAAATCTTATATTTCAAGGCCCATTAGACTGTAAATTATCTTATCACATTTTTCATTGCTATCAGATAATTAATTGCAATCAAATATCGTGGTGATTTGTGGTGATTTCACGAATAGATCGATTAAGTAAAGCTATATGATAAAGGAAAAAATGAAATTTCAACAAAAATTCTGATTGATTTTATTTTTATATTGGCCAAATAATTCATGACAGTGAATATAATTTAATTGTTACAGTAAAAATGTAATAACTCAACTTTTGAGTCAACTTAATTGTTTCCAATGAAAGAAGGATGTCAAAAATGGCCTACTAATATTATTTTTTCTAACATATTTTTTCCGATGTGAATTTGCATGCTAATTCCAAATATTTCATTATACCTTTACCCTTTATGATAACATCGCCTCTTTCTTTTATTTCAAACTGTTTGAAGTGGTCCAAAAGCTTTTTAGTTGCTGAACTGATATGAATTTTTAAAGCTATATGAAAAAAGAGGAAAAAAATGAATAAGATATTATGCATTTCCTTATGAATAGAAACAAAAAATGATAAAATGGAGTTCTTGAACTTCAAAAGATCCACATCCATATACTTATTTGAATGGTATGTCGTACTGTGCTTATAATAAAAGTTAAGCTAATCAGATATGCATGTTCTAAATGTAAACTGTTTATTATCATTGGAAATTAGCTGAATCTGTTTCAAGTTGATTTCAAAAGCTTAAAAACTTAACAACTTACAAAATCACTTAAGAGCTAATCAATCTTCATTATCATAGCTGATCTGCGTGATTAATATCTCATGATTTGCGTCATTCTTAAACTACTGAAAAGTTAGTTTAAACAAAACTAGAACATTATTCAATTTGTTGGTTTTAGAACTCTTTACATGCACGTATTCAAAAGGATTTGACTCTTTTCCCTAGCAAGATAAAAAACTTGTATAGCACAAAATAGATATGCAAACGTTAATTTCAATTTACATTGTACTAATTAATCTTGTGCAAATCTATTGCCATTCAGTTGTGAAAATTCAAGGCCTAATGAAAACAAACCTTCTCCAGTTGATTCCATACGAGAAGCCGTGTTAATTGTATCACCAAAAAGACAATATCTGGGTCTTTTATTACCAACAACGCCAGCACAGCATGGACCTGTGAGATGATAAAAATAATTATTTCGTTGGAATATAGCTCTCAACAAAATGATATCAAAAGTTCCGGTTCAATAAGATTATTCACCAGAATGGATTCCAATGCGAAGTTTTAATTTATCTTCCTTTCTATGCCTTATGACGAATCCATCAACTGATTCAACCATTCTGAGAGACATTCGAGCAATTTGTCTAACATGCTCGTGTCCATTTCTTTCCGGAAGACCGGAAACAACCATATATGCATCTCCAATAGTCTCAACCTATTAAGTATTATTAAGTGGTAAAGGAAATGTTATAGGATGATTGATTTGCATTAATTTACAAAAAGAGAAATTGAAAGTTCTATATTTTTCAGGTATACTGTACCTTGTAGACATCATAATCTGATATAATGGAATCAAAACAAGTATATAAGTCGTTGAGAAAATTAACAACTTCAATTGGTGTGCTTTCTGAGCACATTTCAGTGAACCCGACAATATCACTGAAGTAAACTGTAACAGAGTCATAATAATCAGGAATAACACTTTCACCGATTTTCAATTGATTAGCAACAACCCTGAAAGAGATCAGAAAAAAGAGTAAATTGAATTAGTGATTACATTACATTTGGTCAAATTTAAAGCATTCTAATGTACCTTGGTAGTATTTGGTATAAAAGTTCTTCAGTTTTCTTTTTCTCTTCAGCCAATTCACTAGTTCTTTGTTCAACTATTGATTCAAGCTCAGTCGCATATTGTTCCATTCTTTGTAACAACTTTTCGGTTAAAGTGGTATTTTCTGGTGAATCTTCATTTTGTCCAGAAGATCGTGCAATTAATCTTATTTCTCGTTTAATGTGATTAAAATCAGGCCTTGAGTGAGGTTCCCGGGACCAACATCGAACCATATGATGATAAAGTTCCTTGTTTTCACACAGATCAAGAGGTACATCAGGCCTTAGATCATGGCGAACAATATTATTCACAATCGCTGGAAGTTAAAATAGAGAAAGTTAGCCATAAAATATTGATGAGATGTAAATTTACTCACTCTTAATGTCCATACAAAGTACATATGGATGAAAAGGAAAAGAACGGGTGATAATTTCTTGCAAAATTACCGAATAGCTATAAACATCAGCTTTTTGACCTCGATATACACAGTCGTAACAACGTCTTAGTTTGTACTTGGAAACTTCTGTACATCGGCATCTGGGTACACGATAACAGTTATATTAAAATTGGATAAATATTTTTGATCCAGAGTCATTTTTGTATTATACCAAGAAACAGGTTTACTTACTTATTTTTCTCAATTTCAATTGCACCACTAACATAATTAGATTTGGAGAGATCATTGTTAAGCATATCAGGTGAAATGTATAAAATTGAATAAGGATCAGTTTGACCATTGGAGACTACATCATTAGTTTGCACTGAAATAGTCAAATGAGGTTCATTGGTTGAAATTAAAGCTTTGGACGAGCTTTTATTTTGCTGTTGATGATTATTGTCTCCTGATGAATTGTTAGCTGTAATCGATGCTGCTGATCTTAGCTTTTCTAGTCCAAAGTCAGATAGTTTAATGCAGAAACGAGAATCAACCAAGCAATTTGTGGATTTAAGTCGTCCATGGAAGATGTGTTCGCTACTATGAAGGTAACACATGCCTGCAATAATATCATTGATCAATGAAAATCGGAACATCCAATCCAAATTGAGAGAAAAGTTCATCAATAAATCACGCAGTGATCCTTTCGGACAATATTCTGTCAGGATTACATTAGGAACATCAATACAAGCTCCGATGAAGCGAGCCAGATTCTCGTGGGAAGTTTCTCTCATCTATAAAAGATAAAAACAATTCAAGTATAAAACAAAATTAATTTGGTCCGAGTTAACAACATTAATTAGAATTAAATTTATCTTAAAAGATTAACTTTCAACTTTCAACTTTCGCAATTGCTATTCTATCGAATGTAAAATTTGAACTGTTCAAGCATAAAACATAATACAAGGTAAACTGATAATAAATTGTCAATTGATTTCACAGTCAGAGAGAATTAAATGTGAAGTTCAATAACGTAAGATAAATTGAGTTGAGCAAAGAGTGATAAATATTAAAGGAATAAACTCAATGAAAAATTTCAAGACACCATCTCAAGAAAATGTTTCCTGATCTGGTTTTTTCTAGTTTTCTTCTTAAATTTGGTTCAGAATCGCAATAAATTGGGAATTTATTTGGACTGCTTGGACTGGCATTGTCTCGGCTGAGTCTCTTTCAATTCTGATAACATTTGATAATAACTTAACTTCTTGAGGAAGTTAATATTTTAGTGATTTAAGAAAAAGTGACAAATCATTGTCATCATCGATAATTTTACAATAGACAAAATTAACAAATCAAAAATAGATACTTACAATTTTCAATTCCATCAGAATTTCTCTGGTTACCTCGATTTTATGCGATGGCAATTTCTTAATTGCTACCCGATTACCCTACCCAAGCCAAAATTTTAAGTTATAATAATCCTGTTGGGCCTATTAGGGGAGGATAATGTCGACATGATAGTCTTGTAAGCATGCAAAATCAAATAGTAATCATAATGTGATAAATGAGATTGCCTAGCAATTAAAGGAACTGACAGTTTTCTCAAGATCAAGATTTCTCTGATCAATTAATTCAGATTAGCCTATTGCAAGATCAAACTAATCTGAGCTCTGAAAGGGAAATTTGTTTAAAATAAATTGTGAACAAAATAAAAAGGATCTATAATGGAAGCTTTGGTTAATTGGAATCAACAGTAAATCCTCCTTTTGGGATAGAGTAAATGGTTTTGAATAAAAATTTACCTTGTAATGGGCACATATGATCTTTCCTTCATTATGATGAATTTCATTTAATTCGCCCTGAATACAAAAAGCCAAAAGGAAATAAGAATTGTTTTTTTGCCAATTACAGTTACAGCATACAATTAAACATAATGGCAATATTTACCTGACTTGACGTTGTAATTTTACTCATAAATGATTGTCGAGGTCCATGGTCCAGAATAATATCTTCCCAACGAACTTTCCAAGACATGTTAGCAAGAGCAGCTTCCAATTTCACTTTGCTATAAACAAAAGTTAGTTGGAAATGCATATTCACGAATTAACATCTCATTTAATCAACATTTGATTAACACTTCAAAAACAATGTACAGTAAATTCACACTTACCACACATTTGGTATTTTCACACCAAAAAACAGAGCCATCTAGAGGACGTCAATTGCTATCTAACCCTAAAAAATCTTTTGTCTCATTATTTCTTATTTTTATTTGAGAGGAATGTTTATTAGTTCAATTCTGATAATTATCAATCAAATATTAACCAGCCGATTGACTCTTGCGTCGTTTGATTGAAATTTCCTCTGAAAATCGTAAGGTAATTGTTTTTGGTCAAAAATAAGTGTGAATTTACTGTAATGTAATCAATGTGCAAATAGACAAGCTGCTATAATAAGACGGGAGACAAAAAAGGTACAAAAAGCGCTGAAAAACTAAAATTGATGTTTGATGTTTTAACTTACTGATAAATGAATGTTGATGCCACCAATATTAGTGCAATGATTATCAATAAAGTAGCCAACAATATGTTCCAGTAAGGTACATCTAACAAGGTAAGGGAAACTTATTTAATAATCAATTGTTTTTATTTTGAAAGAGTTGGCCATAATCAAACCTTTATCACATGCATTTCCTTTGAAACCACATTCTGGAATATCTTTTGGTTTAACTCCAAATTTTCCTGGTGGCCATTTAATTTCTTTTTCTTTGGTGAAACTTTTTGTTGCACCATAATAACGTAAGACAACCTGCGAAAAAGCATTGGTTCATTATGATTTACTAAATTGCCAAGATTCAAGTTAATCTGGTAATTTTATTCCAGCTTGTTCCATAAATTCATTCTGTAGTAGTTTTTCCTTGTTAAAATCAAATGGCAACAGTCTGAAACTGTTTGATTTAATTAGTTCTCGGTAAATCTTACAAATGGTTCAATTAAGACAAGTTACGATTGATTCAATTAGCTAAGCAACGTTAAAAGGTGTAAATAAAATCCTCTTGATTGGTTCAACACATTTAGATCTACATGTATACCTCAGATTATGTTCATAAGAATAATGATTTTCTAGGAACATAAAATATTCTACTTTCATCATTTCTAACATCATAAATCAACCAGGAACCTAATATGAACAAAGTTCAATTCTGCTACAAAATCACATCATTTCGAAACAAAAACCTGCTCTTGTATCAACAATATGTTATATTATTTTACATAAATATTTAGTTTATATAAAAAAACTTGATTGTCTTTACACGCAGTAAAACTTATCTTAATGGCAATCATGCCATAAAAGGTTTCATATGCGAAAAATGAAATGAAATTTTGTTCAATACCATTTGTATTACTGTATTCAAATATCATAATCAATGTCATAATTAAGGCAACACTTGACCCCGTTCATTATTAATAAATGAGGATATTATCTCTTATTATTAATAAGATGTGTAAAGTGTTATCAAGGTATATCTAGTTTGAGTAAATAAACATTGACCATTGATGATAAACTCGTCAAATGGTTTACCTTTACATGGAGGATGTTGATTCTGATGATTAGAATGACCACCATGATAATGGCGGTGACACCAGAATGAGTTTGAAAAACTAATTTAATTGTCAAACAATAAAGTTACAAAATAAACACTTTACCTCAAATAATCCATCATCAATATTTGTCTGATCTAGTAGAGCATAATCAGCAATTCGATCTCCTTCTTCATCAATAGTTATATCTCCAGAGATACCATTAAGGGTTAAATTGCGCATCCTTTGAACAAGTAAAACTCCATCATGAGGATCATGATCATCATTTAAAGTTTCACGAATGGCTCGACAAAGGAGAAGTACAGCATCATGGAAACTGGCTGTGAAATAGTTGACCTTTAATGGTGATAATAATATTGCAACGAAAGGAAATATCAATCAAATAAATATGTTTTGATAAGCTGACCGATTGACTTGCAATCCAGAAATATGTAAACCATTAAACCAAATTGTGGTTAAAAATGTATTCATCAGGAAGTCTTAAGTACTCATTACATTTTATCATTGACTTGCAACTCATCGTTGTTGAGTTGTTAATGTAAATCAAATGGATGGATGGATAATACTTACGAATTGTTCATTGTATTGATAACCATAATCACGATATGCTCGAAGTTTAACTTCGTCTGAAAAGTTTTTATAATGATCTCCAGGAGGTTGATTCAGGCTTACAATTAAAAGTGATTGATAGGCTGTCTTTAATTGATTCGCAACGGACTCGTCTTCTGGTGTTGGCAGCAATGACAGTTTAATTATAACAAAGAAAATATGAAAATAATTAAAGGTTAAGATATTAGCTGTTGATTGATCTAAATTTTGAGTTTATTCTGTTTAGCTGATTAACTGTTATTTTTGTTTTTAGTCAATGCTGGTCTGGTTACAAGCTAATCATAAACAGTTTAATGGAACGATAAAAAGACATTAATTAAAGACATTAAGACACAAGAAAAGTGATTAAAGAATCTTTCAATAACTCAAAAAGCATCAGAATAATCAACTTACCAACTCCACGAGACCAACTCATGTTTCCAAGAGCTTCAGCTTCAATCAGTTCAGGATAAATGAACACATATTCACCCTGAGTCATTCCTTGATGATGAGCTTTCAATAAGATTGTCCGTACATCTTTATCACCTCCAAGTATAATGATAACTGTAAATCAGGTACATTTATAAGCGATTAATGATTATTCAATGACAATAAATATTCTTACTTCGTGAACAGGTTGTCATTCGTTGTAGGACTTTGTCGATATCAGTAATAATAACTTTATCGAAATCCCGAAAATAAGTTTCACGACAGTTGCACTTGAAATGTGAATATTTGGGCAATTTGAGAAGCTTCAGAAGGACATCGGCTAACGTGTTGTAATAAACGTCTCCAAACCTAAAGACCAAACCAAAGATTTTCCACTTGAAATAGTCAAGGAAAGCCAGGATAGCTCGAGCTTTGTCCCTCATATCATAAGAAAGTCGTATAAGTGAGGTCAAATCGGATCGATGGATCGGAATTATATCACCCAATCCAGTTAATATTGGTATCTTTTTATAAGCAGCGAGTTGGGATACAGCCTGAAATAAGAAGGTCGAGATTAATAATTTACTCAATCATGACGAAGTAAATGATGACTTTTATAAACATCTTTCTATTTTAATCTATTGAACATATTGAACAGAACCAAGGTTACTGTTCATTTTTAAAAAAGTAACTTCATTGGTGCATTGATGGAAATATAATGTTAAAATTCTGCAACTGAAAAGTAAGTAAAAAAAGGTTGAGAATGATGATTATTCTCGTGTGCTCATCAAACAAGCCTTTTCCAACTTGAATAGATTCAGTTTTTCAACATCATTCAGTCAACTATTTCATCTTTCAAGTAAATGGTAATGTCCCAAGTTGATGATGCTGAACCTGATTGGAAGCTTACCTGAAGATCATTACTGCAAGCAGGTCCAATAAAACCAACCAAGTTTCCCTTGTATTTTTCAAGTAAATCGTAAGCTTGGCCAATTGCTTCTCGCTCTTTGCACGTATCTTCATAATAGCCTGGAAATGGTATCAAAATTTAGTTAAGAGAAACGCAAGAAAAGACATGACGAATTCAGCTATGAAACAATGATTTTCCTCATCGTCATCACCAATTGGAGGAAAAAAACTTGATTTACACGTCTATGATCATTACTTTGACAAGCACATCTAAATTTTCAACACACAAGTTTGTAGTTTTCGTGGAAAAGGCATAAATCGAATTACAATCTACATTAATATGTATGAAATGTATCTCTCAGTCAAATTATTTGGTTCCTTTTTGAGGGATAACCTGAAAAGGAAGCCCAGATTCCCTGCAAACTCTGTAATAACATCAACAATTTCAATACAACTCAAGCTTGGTCTTGCCGTAATATTTATAAATTCAATGCTCATTTCAACATGATAATACAAGTTTTCCTTGCAACTGAAATTGGATCTTATCAAGAACTTAGTTACTAATAAATAGCTCAAAGTAAAACATTTTTTATATTAATAAATGTCTTTGATTTTGTTTTGAAAAAAGGTTCAATAAGACAAAAAAGTAATTTCAAGTGAAACATTTCTTGATTAAATCCTATTACCTTTAATCAAATCAAAATTGCTATAGCAGCTATTGTACTATAATACAATAATGTGGACAATATCAGTTTCAGTATTTTCTTTACAAATAAACTCGATTATTTACTATCATGTTTGTAATGTCAAATTGATATAGACAAAGTTTAAATGTTTATCAAGAAAAATCTCAATTCACTCGATATTGAAAAAAAACTTTGCGATTTTAATTCACACTAATCAGTTTGATAGCATTTTCAATGGTTAAGTTTCGTGAGACAACTTTAAATAATACAAACTAATCAATGTAATGGAAACACATAACTGAATCAACTGAATGATTAAAGTGTTTAATTTTTTTAATGGCTACAAATAGTAATTTTGTTTCAACTTAATGATCTTTACTTATAATACTGGGTAACATTGGATTACCAGGTTTTAGGTTAAAGTTGTATTGATTGAAACGGTTAGACAAACAAAGAAAGAATTATTTCTAGGTTTAATTTCCAACCTCATTTTATCAACAATCAGCGAGGTTTAAGATACTATTTATCACAATTAGGGGATAGAGGTCAATTTACCTTGATTTATGTTCAAATTAATGTCATAATAGTTTAGACACTTTTCCCTGGCAATGTCAATAGCTGGACCAATGTGAACAAGGTCAAATCTCACAGCGTCTTTACGATATCTTTTCACCATAAGAAGACCAACATTGAATGAGTTGTTTGATTGATTTAAAGAAAGCAAATATTTGTTGACTTGAGTTGATGTAATTAACTGTCCATGAAATGTTAACACAAAAATAATCCAATAAATGTTTAATATTGTAAATCCAACCATGATTATTTAAAGACACAATGTAAAGTTGCTTTGAAATATGACTACATGCTTTATTAACATAGAGAAAGCTGTTGTGATGGCAAAAAAACGATGCTTATCAGGTTCGTCTTAATTGTTGAGTTGATTGCAAGTTGAAAAAAGAAAGCAAAGAAACATAAACTTTGACTAATTCAATGTAAAAATATAACATGAGAAGTGAAAATAACAAAACCTTTAAGTTGAAGCTTATCTCAAAGATTTGTCAGAGGTTAAGAGACTGAAAGATAAAAGTGAAATGCAACTTTCATTGGATTGCCAATGAAGATTGAAGCCAGGTTTATCTTCGTCTTTTCCCCTTCAAATTGTGACTCTCTCACAAAGAGTATATAACTATTACTCTTTGCTCTCTCATTTCATCTTCTCCTTTGCTATCATGAGCTCATTCTGTCTGTCTCAGTTTCATCTTCATGTCTAATGCCTGAATTTAAAGAATAAGTCAACTTTTTCATTTTCATTTCTTTCCATCTGACTCGTAGGTTAACTTCAACTGTCAATAGTTGGCAACATTTTTCTTTTCAATTAATACACCAATGTAATATCACTAGGCTATCGCTAGCTTTGAATCTGTATCTTATCAAAAAACAACAAACTAAACTGTAACAAGGAAAAGTTGAACTTGTGTGTTCATTGGCTTACATGTACTTTTCCCTTGATACTTCTTTTTGGGACAAGCTTTCAACATGAAACCAAGCGTTTATGGATTACATTGAAACTCTCATGTTTAATATTGTAATGATTGGTTATGTGATGAAAAACATGAAGGCGTCTTTGGTACCACTCAATCAACAGTTATCAATCATGTCCAAAACACACACCTCATCAAAATTAACTGCCTATGATAAGGTAAATGGAAAATTAAATTCAAATAAAGTCACAATTTGAGTCACAATGACTAAACAACATTTCAAATAAACTACAGTAACCCTGAAAATTAAAATTACTTTCCAGATCAACATTTTTTCAAACTCATCTTTTGTTGTCTCATGATTTTGTTTTGAATCC